CAGGAGGTGTGGTACCCAGAAACACAGAGAACTAGAAAGATCACCTGTGTGTTCAAGCATGTCAACAGAAACTTGAGGGTTCTGTTGAAAAACTGGAGGATAAATTAGTGACAGGTACACAGGCTGCTTAAAAAATGAGGCAATCTGGACCATTTATCAAATATCACAGTCAGGTGAAATGACAAGAATAATTAAACTGATCCTGTTAAATGTTTAAAAAAAATGAGGCAATTACTAACTTTAAAAAAAGGTGGGGCTGGAGAGATGGGTCAGTGATTAAGAGCACCGACTGCTCTTGCAGAGGACCCAGGTTCGATTCCCAGCACCCACACGACGGCTAACAACCATTCATAACTCCATTTCTAGAGGATCTGACGCCTTCTTCTGACCTCTTCAGGCATTGCACTTACACACATGCAAACAGTACACTCATACACATAAAATACAAATAATAAATATTTTTTTTAAAAAATGGGCTAGAGAGATGGCTCAGCAATTAAGAGCACTGGCTGCTCTGCCAAAGGACTGGGACTTGGTTTCCAGTACCCACACGGTAGCTAACAAAGGTCAGTTACTTGCCAGATGTGGTGGTGCACACCTTTAATCCCAGCACTCGGGAAGCAGAGGCAGGTGGGTCTCTGTGAGTTCAAGGCCAGCCTGGTCTATATAGTGAGTTCCAGACCAGTGCTGGGGCTACAGGGAGATCCTGTCCCAAAAATACCAAAAAAAAAAAAAAGCCCACAAATTTACCCAATAAAGGACATAGAGTCATGGCACCCTTCAGGGCTCTGCTTTGAATAATATTTACCTAATAATGATTACACATTAACTACTAGCACATCAAAACAAAATATTCTAAGTAACCTAGGAGAGAAGGGAGTGTTCTAAGTTTGCTTTCAATTGCTGTGACAAAACACTCTGACCAATACCAACTTGGGAGGAAAGGGTTTATTTGGCTTACATCTCCCTGGTCAGTTCATCAAGGAGCCCAAGGTAGGAACTCAGGGCAGAAACTTGGAGGCACAGGCCATGGAGGAACACTGCTTACTGGCTTACTCTCCCGGCCTGTGCTCAACCAGTTTTTTTTATACAACACAGGCCCACCTGCCCAGGGCTGGGCCCTCCCACCTCACTCAGTAATCAAGAAGATGCCCCACAGACATGGCCACAGGCCAGTCCAATGGAGGCAATTCCCCAATTGAGGCTTCCTCAACCCAGGTGTGTCAAGTTGACACTAAAGCTATCCAGCACTGGGAGAAATAGGTCCATACATAAAGTGCTTGCCCTGCAAGCCCTAGGACCTGATTTCCATGCCTAAGAACCTATGTAAAAAGTGGGCAAGGTGGCAAGTGCTTATGATCCAAGCCCTGGGTAAGTAGAGACAGGCTTATCGCTGGGGTTCAATAGCCATCCAGCCTAGCCTACTTGGTGAGCTCCAGGCCAGTGAAAGACCTGGTCTCAAAAAGTAAAAAATGTAAAAGTAGGAAAAAATTTTAATTTTAATTTATTTATTTTTATTTTTTAATTTTATGTGCATGAGTGTTTTGCCTGCATGTATGTAAGTGCACCCATGTCATGCAATGGCCGCAGAGGTCAGAAGAGGGCACTAGATCCCCTGGAACTGGGAGTTATAGATGGTTGTTAGCCATCATGTGGGTGCTAGGGAATCGAACACGGGTCCTCTACAAGTGTAGCCCCAGCTGACCTAAACTCACTATGTAGACCAGGCTGACCTTGAACTCACAAAGATCCGCCTGCCTCTGCCTCCCAAGTTCTGGGACTAAAGGCATGTGCCACCACGCCTGGCCCAGAAAAAAATTTTAATAAAAGTTTTAAAGAAAAGAAAAAAAAAAAAAAAGGTTGATGATACCTGCAAAAACATTGTCCAAGTTTGACTCAGGCCTCCATACTCACACAAACATGCACAAAACCACACACACACACACACACACACACACACACACACAAAAATAAGCTGGGAGACGGGGTGGGAGAAAAAAAACTGCCCTACTGCCCTATCAAATCACTTTCTAAATAGAGAATAGTAAATACTCATTTGAAAACAAGATAAGCTAGGGGCTGGAGAGATGGCTCAGTGGTTAGGAGCAGGTACCATCCTAATAAAGGACTTGAGTTCAGTTCCCAGCACCCATATCAGATGGCTTAAAACTGTCACTCTAAGATCCAACACCCTCTTTTGAGACATGGTGGCACACGCCTTTAATCCCAGCACTCGGGAGGCAGAGGCAGGCGGATCTCTATGAGTTCAAGGCCAGCCTGGTCTATGTAATAAGTTCCAGGCTAGCTGGGGCTACAGGGAGACCCTGTCTCAAAAAGACCAAAAATAAAAAATTTTAAAAACTTAAAAATAAATAAATAGGGTCTGATTGTATAGCCCTGGCTGACCTGGAACTCTCTGTATAGATCAGGCTGGCCTCCAACTCACAGAAATCCACCTGGCTCTTCCTCCCAAGTGATGAGATTAAGGATATGTACCACCACACCCTGAAGGACACTCACTTTTTAAAAAACATATTTATCTAGAATTCAAGTTGGATTATGTCTTCATATGTTAACTCTAGGAAGCTTAAGAAGGCATCAAACAAGTTCCTTCTGTCAAAAGCTTGGATTTCTCTCTGTCTTAGAAGCTGAGACTTTGCCCCAGGTTACTCCCACCTGTACCCCTGCCCTGGGGGGAGGGAAGGTGACAGCCAGGTCAGGAAAGTGGCCTCTGGGAGACCCAAGGCAGGACCCAGCAGGATTTTTCAGAGAATGGCTTTCAGGTCAAAACCACACAAAGTTCTTTCAAGGCAGGGACTTGGTTGAGTTAGTCTCCACTGGCCCAAGAAGCCAGTCTGGCTCCATGAACAGCCTTCTAATGTCCCATGGCTTCACAAAGACTGGATCAAGAAAATAAGGCAGTATTGCAGGTGGATACACTGGGGGGATGTTTCTGTCTTCGTGTGAATTTTCATCACATGTATGTATTACTTTTATAATCAGTAAAAGACAATAAAGACATGACCATATTCAGGATGAAATGTGGTGGACCAGGCAACTTGTGGGCACTCTCCAAAGCAAGACTCTGCAATGCTAAGTAATGCCCTAGTCTTTGTTAACATTTGAGGACCTTTCAGTACCCTTTGTTGAGGTTCCTTTTTAAAGTTTGTTATTATTACTATTATTATTATTAGGAGGGGAGAGCATTCCACGGAGCTCATGGCTCATGTGGTGCTCAGAGGACAACTTTGAATAGTGGGTCCTCTGCTTTCACCTTTACAAGAGTTCTGAGACGGACTCTAGTCACCAGGCTTGTGCCTTTTTACCAGCTGAGCCATCTCCGTGGCCCTCTTCTTTTTTTTTTTTTTTCAATTTTTGCTCTCCCAGGGATTCTGAGTCCAGCCATTTCTACTCGTTGGCCCCAAATGAACACACACTCTTGTCACTGCCCAGACTTATATTTCACAAAGCTTTGGCTTGGTTTTTAATTCACCTGAGCAGAAATCTGAGCTCACTCCTAACCTGGAGGGCACCTCCAAATGACCTGTCCCCAGAAACCAAGGAAAAAAACTTGTGTAGGCTATAAGAGGCCTTAAGGTAGTAGACTCTAGGGCCCACATTGGAGCAGTGGAATAGAATCTGGGACTTCTAGGGAGCTTGAGGTTAACCAACTCTGATAAAGGGATATGTTTTCCAATACATAGGGCTGTTTTTCAGTAAACTACAGCCTCTCCCCAGTAAAAACCAGTCACGTTCCAGGGAGTTGTACAGAGCGCTTGGTCCCTATGTAGCAGATGGGCAAAGGTTGGAGGAAAGGGGGACAGCTCTGGGGTTCACTGGGTTCTGACTGGAGCCCTATGGTATCTCCTTGCAGCTTTGTGACCTTAGGGCAGTTATTTAACAGAGCCTGGGCTGTCTTGAGGATTTGCTGAGATCATGAATGCTAAACACCTGGGAACACAGAAGTCATCTTCAGATAGGAGTTTATCTGTCTTCAGAAAGCCAGAGCATGCTCTTTGACCAGAGGGAGCCTTTCTGCTGCAATTCCCACAGACCCAGGACTGCTCTGAAAACCCCTCCCCACCACCAAGAACACCCTCCCTGCTCTGAACAGACCACCAGCCTCTGGTGCTGTGGATACGACCAGTCTCCCAACTCAGGCACAGTGGCCTGGCCCACACGACCTTGGAAGAACCTGAGAGAAAGCTTCATCGAGCGACAGTATTTTTCCACTGCACTGCTCGGCCACCTGAGCTGGCTTTGTGCTGTGCCGATAGGAGGCAAAGGGCGCCAGGCTGACCCCACCAGGAACCCATCCCCAAATCCTGCTGTCAGGAATGGGGGTAGGGATGCGCTGTGGATGAGGGGCAGCAGGCAGGAATCCTAGAAGAAGAGGATGGGGCGTGCCTTGGGAGGTTGGAGACTACTAGTGAGGCTGGGGAAACTGACATTTGAAAGCCCTCCGCCAGTATTTCCGGGGATTCCCACTCCTTAGCCGCCCATCTACTCCAACCTCTCCAATGATAACTGGAGCGGCTGCTCCAGCGCGCCTGTGCTGGGTCTTGGGCAGCTCGAGCCTGCGCGCGGGAGGGGGGGGGGCGAGGGGGAAGGAGGGAGGGGAGAGGGGAGGGGACAAGGGAGCTAGCGGTCCCGCCCGGTGATGTAGGCAGCCCTAGGAGGTGGAGCCGCGACGCCGGAGTCCCCACCGCAGCCGCGTTCTTGGTCCACCCCACTGAGCAGCCACCAGCCCCGGCTCCTGCGACCTCCCTGCCGCCGCAATTAGGGCTGCAGGGACTGTGACAATCGTTCATATTCGGGCCCGGGGGCGGGGGACATCCATCGCTCCTGACCCCTGTCCATCCTTGCTTCCCAGACGGCTGGAGTCTTTTCCAAGGGAAGCTATTCCGGGCCAATCAGCCGCCGCCCCGGGCATCTCGGTGGCCAGCCGGTTTGAGCACCCGACCTCTGCGAAGCTAGCCCCGCTGGACCCTGGGCAACTCGCGCAACGACTGTCTCCAGCCGCCGCCCAGCTTGGGCGGTGGGCTTCTGCGCGCCGTTCCCAATCCCCAGGACGCGGGTGAGCTCCCGGCGCGCCCCCGGCCAAAAGACCGCCGCGATGCTGCCCTGGAGACGAAACAAATTCGTGCTGGTGGAGGATGAGGCCAAGTACAAGGCGAAGAGCCTGAGCCCGGGGCTCGCCTACACGTCGCTGCTTTCCAGCTTCCTGCGCTCCTGCCCCGACCTGCTGCCGGACTGGCCGCTGGAGCGCCTGGGCCGGGTGTTCCGCAGCCGGCGCCAGAAAGTGGAGCTTAACAAGGAGGACCCGACCTACACCGTGTGGTATCTGGGCAACGCCGTCACCCTGCACGCCAAGGGCGACGGCTGCACCGACGACGCTGTGGGCAAGATCTGGGCGCGCTGCGGGCCGGGAGGGGGCACGAAGATGAAGCTGACGCTGGGGCCACACGGCATCCGCATGCAGCCGAGCGAGCGCGGCGCTGGGGGCTCCGGGGGTCGCAGGCCGGCGCACGCCTACCTGCTGCCCCGCATCACCTACTGCACGGCGGACGGGCGCCACCCGCGCGTCTTCGCCTGGGTCTACCGCCACCAGGCGCGCCACAAGGCCGTGGTGCTGCGCTGCCACGCCGTGCTGCTGGCGCGGGCTCACAAGGCGCGCTCCTTGGCCCGCCTGCTCCGCCAGACCGCGCTGGCGGCCTTCAGCGACTTCAAGCGGCTGCAGCGGCAGAGCGATGCGCGCCACGTGCGCCAGCAGCACCTCCGAGCGGGGGGCGCAGCCGCCTCGGTGCCCCGCGCCCCTCTGCGCCGCCTGCTCAACGCCAAGTGCGCCTACCGGCCGCCGCCCAGCGAGCGAGGCCGCGGGGCGCCGCGGCTCAGCAGCATCCAGGAGGAGGACGAGGAGGAGGATGAAAAGGAGGAGGATGCGGAGGAGAGCGAGGGAGGAGCTCCCCAGCGCGAGCGGCCCGAGGTGCTCAGCCTGGCCCGGGAGCTGAGGACGTGCAGCCTGCGGGGTGCCCCGGCGCCTCCGCCACCCGCACAGCCCCGCCGATGGAAGGCCGGCCCCAGGGAGCGGGCGGGCCAGGCGCGCTGAGAGCCCGGGACCAGGACTCGGGCCCGAGACCCGGCCCAGCAGACTTACTTACAAAGCCGCCAACCCGGCCCTGCCCGCTTCTGCCCCCCCTGGTCCCTTGGCCTGCCGCCCTCGCGGGCTCGGTTGTGGTCGCCTTGCCCCTCATCCTGGCTCAGGGTGAAGCCGGATATGCCCTTGATTGTTGAGGGGAAGTTCACATCTTCCCCACGCTCAGAGTTTCCCGGGCCCTCCGTTATGGAATTGCCCCCATGCTTTACACCGAGTCTCTGTCCACAGACCAACCTGCTCTCTTCTTCCAAAATAGCCTCTCAGGAGAAAGGGGGATACGTTTGTGGAAACCCTGGAGGGTGGGTTTCAACCCTGGCTACAGTTAAGGTCTCTCTCTCTCTCTCTCTCTCTCTCTCTCTCTCTCTCTCTCTCCTTAAATCTAAAGTACATAATCTCTCTCTCTCTCTCTCTCTCTCTCTCTCTCGATAAGAACACCCTGGCGAGGGATTCAGAAAGGAAAGGAATGAAGTGCCTCGGGAGAACTGAGGCCAGACCCACGATGGGCTCAGATCTGGGGCCATACACACAGAGAGGAATTTCTTGGCCCCAGGCAGGGCCCGCTCTACCCCTTGGAAGACTCCTGAGACTTCTGCTCTGCCTCCAGAGAGAAATGGGATGGTCCTGCCCACATGCAAAGGAGAGTGGGCCAGGTAACAGCTCTGCACTAGACAGTTATCCAAGCCTCTGTCTTGGCATGCCTCCAGGACTCCTCACTCATCCCTGATCTCTGCCGTTATCTGCAGACAGATAACTGATCTTCCCTAGGTACCTAGCCAGGACCATGATGGGACCAAAGGAGGTAAGGAGGACCTCTAGCAGGTGTTGGGGGCACATGCTCCAAATCAAGGCTCTCGGGGGCGCAAGTAGGCCCTAACAACAGCTGGACTTGCACTGCAGGATGGAGAAACCAGTATTAACCCATAAGAGGGATCAGGCCCCTACCCAGGCATCTCCACAAGGCCATCAAAAGCCCAAAGATCTATGTGTCACCAACTGATCATTGTAAATAAAGTAGATCTGCTTTTTCAGCCCTGTTATCACTTTTGTGTTGTGTTTGATGCTAGGCCTTGCTGGGGTGGTGAATGATCATCATAAGCCTGAGGATCAAAGAAGAGCCCAGAAAGTAGCCCTCCTTAGCATCTGCAGCCACTTCCCATGATTGGGGTGGGGTTTGCTGCCTGGATGCTGTTCCAGGGGAGGAGGCAGTAACATATGCTTCGAAAACCATACTCGCCAAGTCCCATTGGCGCATCCTCTGTCTGTCTGTCTCTGCCTCCCACAATGTCTGTACACCAGGCACTCAGATGTGTCTGGGACGTTTGGCAGGGAGGGGGCTGTTGAGCTGGGGCCTTCTCTTGAGCCATGTAATTTAAGGATGTTTCATATATGTGTCCTGGCATGTAGTATAGGCTGTACCCCAGCCCCTTCAGGGACGAGAGGAAGGCAGAAGGTAGGGGAGTGGGGGCGGACAACCCAGTTTTCAGACTAGAGAAATGTGTCCAAATCCTGTGACAGTTGAGTCTTTAGCTTTAATATCTTTAGCCCTGTGCTAAGCTGGGCACTGATCCCAGAGCTACTTAGAACCCGCACAAGCGCCCTCTGCCATCGCCAATGATTAGAATGTTTCTGGGAGCTACCGCAACAGAGGGTGCAACAGCCACCTCACCCTGGTGGGACCCTCATGGGGTCAGAGGCCTGCTGGGGGAAAACCAAGGCTGCATCTACACCAGAGGTGTCAGCAACCAACCAGGCTTGATACCCTCCAGGTCTTTTCCTTCCCTTGTACAACTTGTCAAGGCTTCTGCTGGTGTTTTTCCCATTTGGGACAGATGAGGAGGTGACATGTCATACCTGGAGAGGACTGTGGGCCACAGGGAAGCCTCTGAGGTTGTTTGATACAGCCTCACTAAGCAACAAGGTCACAGTCTTGCCTTTTCACACAGCAGGTTTAAGTCTAAGCATGCCTGACCACAGTACCTGGGATAAGCACTGGGGGGGGGAGTCCCTGAGGCTGGGATAGTCTCAAGTGGGGTGCATAGAATTAAAGGGGCAGATGGTGGGTGATAATTCACAGGCCTGCTCCCAACCTCTGCCCTTCTCCACTTTTCTCCTCTGGCAGTCTCCCAGCACAAAGGTACACATGCACAGAGGCTCACACATGTGCACACATGCTTGTACAGCATCCCCACACTCAAGTAAGGCTCTCATGACCTGGCGTGAAAAGGCCTGAGCGTGGTTTTCCTAGCTACATCTCCATTTCCAAAGTCAACAGCAGAAGAAGGGCCTGACCCAACATCCTTCCTCCAGGGCTTAGGGATGCAATGAGGCACAGGTGAGCTAAGGTGGCTCCAGCTGCCACGTGGTCAGAGCCAGATGTTTGGAGCCCTGCTACTCAGGGAGTGGGGCGTGTCTTAGAAACCACACCCACTTCATCTGGGCCCTTCCTTGAGCATCGCCCCTGATCTTGGGCACCAGTAGTTGGATGACCTGTTACCCTTATCTCTCTCCTTACGGTTTCAGATTCCTTGCCACTAGAATGGAATTTGGAGTAGGCTGGACCAGCCTAGAGCTCACTATGTAGCCCAGGCTGGCCTAGAACAAATAGCAAATCCTCTTGCCTCAGCCTCCTAAACGCTCAGATTACAGATGTGAGCTTCTACCCCAAACTGGGCGAATAGTTTCCAAATCCCATTCTTCCAGTCCTAGATTTGTTCCTGGAGCTACTGTGAGGAGCAAAGGGGAGACAGGGTGGGGAGGTTTCTCCATCTTGCTCTAACTACAGCAGTATGTGTTCGTTTGTGTGATTTCTTTTTCCAAAGCCTTGCACATGCTAGGGCAACACTCCACCACTGAGCTACATGTCCGTTTCATGTGGGTTTTCTAATTTATTATTTTATGTGTATGAGTGTATTACCTGCATGTATGTAAGCGCACTCATGCCATGCAGTGCCCAAGGAGGTCAGAAGAGGGCATTGGATCCCCCAGACCTGGAGTTACAGAGGGTTGTTAACTACTGCGTGGGTGCTGGGAATCAAAGCTGGGTCCTCTGTAAGAGCAGCCAGTGCTCTTAACCACTGAGCCATCTCTCCAGGCCCTTGTGTGGTTTTTAAGGATAGGAGACTATAAGTTTTTCTTTTTTTTTTAAGTGATGGGATGCCCCCTGAATGCCCAGCCTGAGGTTCGGGTCTGCTGGCTGACCCAGCCTGAGATACACTGTTTAGCACCTTAGGGGTTCTCAGACATGGCAGGAGAGGGTAGGAAGTGTGCCTCTGGTGAGGTTTGCAACTTGAGGGGATCAAGACTCTCCTATGAACTCTGGGGCCTGGTCTCCATCTCTCCTCATCCCACTCCAGAGGGGCTGGACTGTGACCAAAGGGACATGCCACACACATAGCTCAATGCAGTCAGCTGACCCACCTGCTGGCCATCCTGTGTGTCCCCATGCTGCAACCTAGCCACACAGAACTGCTCCCTGGTTGTCCAGATGTCATGATACTGTCCCACCTCCAGGCCTTTGCTCATATTCCTGGTATGGGGACTGTCTTTCCCTTGGCTGATGTTTTCACACCTACCTTCTGTCAAGGCCCAGCTCCATCTCCTGAAAACTTTCTTTAATGCATACCCCTGCTCTACTCTGCAAACTCTGAGGAAGATCTCTCCCCTCAAACTCATGCAGGATTTAATCTCTACTCCGCCCCCATCCTCATGACTTTCTACCTCAAACTACACTTTTGATGCAAGCACCCCTCCTCTCCCTGTTCATCCACTTACCTGTGTACCTTGTCTACAGTAGGCCACAGAGTCGGTGCTCAGTGGTGATCTGTTGAATGAATACATGAATTAACAAGCCAGATGGAAGAGCCATCATGGGCCAGGAAACCAAGTGGGTGGAAGAGCAGTCCCTCTGCCAAGCTTCTGCTGGGAGATACTGAAGGACTGTCCTCAGAAGCCCCATTCTGACGGGCGTTGCCTGGGGAGGAGATCCAAAGCCTAAGTGAAGCCTCTGCTCCCGTGTCTACTCCAAGCTCCAAAGACTCAGGTCATGTCTTTCTTGTTCTCTGGGCCGGTCCCACCTCCTGCAGAGAGCTGACTCTCCCAGTGTAGAGCAGCCCCTGGTAATGGTCACCCGCCCTCCAGACACATGGGCTGGGATTGGCACTTGAGTGGAGGGACAACCATCCAGACAGATGCAGTCTCTAGTTCATCACACAGGTAGTACACCTTGGTTTAGGGATCAGAGAAGCTAAGCATCAGCCCCATGGTGGACTGTTGATGGCTGTATGGCTTTAGGCAGGGTCCTCAAGGCTTTTGGAGACTTGGTTTCATATCTCCAACTAAGCCACCACCTCAGATATGTTAGCTTCCCAACACAGAAGCACATGCTCATGGATTTACATGCATGCACACATGCTTGGACAGCATCCCCAAGTGCTGCTCTCCAGTTGTAGAATGAAAAGACCGGGTTTTCCTATGTCTCCATTCCCAATGTCTGTGGTAGAGGAGGACCTGACCCAGCATCCCTCCTCCGGTAGTTAGAAATGAGATGAGGCACAGGTAGGTTAGGCTCTAGCTGTCACCTGGCCAGAGCTAGGTGTTTGGGGCTGCCTTTGAGCATCTCCCCTGATTTTAGGTTACACTGGATAATTTGTAGAACAGAGTGCCTGATACAATGTTTGGTAACTGCCACTATTTTGATTATTGTAGACATTTTACATGGACTTCTCCTAAGGCAGATCTGGTGCCTGGTCTCTGGAACACCAAATTTTTGATATTTCAAGCCCCGGGTGGTGAACCCACCTAAAGCCATTCATCTCCAAACCGTAGAAGCTCCAACCAAATTTGCCTCACCAACAACCTGCCTCTCATTCCTTAGCCTACACAAGTCGATCACCTTAACACTAAATCAGACTCGCTATCCTAGACTTCTTTTATATCTTATTCTTTTCCATGTATCTCTGTATAGGGTTTATGTGCATGTGCGTATGAGTATTCATGTGTGTGGGTGCCCATGTATGTGCACGTGTGTGTGCTTGTATGTGGGGACCCAAATTTGATGGGAATCTTCCTCTATTGCCCTTTCACCTTATTCTTTGAGGCAAGGTCTCTCATTTGAACTCAAACATCCCCAATATGGCTAGTCTCAAGAGCCAGTTTGTTCTGGGAACCCTGCCTCCATCTTCGGAGGCTAGAATTACAGGTGGGTCATCATACATGCCCAGCATTTGCAAAGGTTCTGTGGATCTGAACCCAGTCCTTATGCTTGTATAGCAAGAGCTTTAACCATTAAACAATCCCCCACCACCCCACCCCCATGTCCTTTTCACATTAGCATCCAGCACAATGCCAGATACACAGTAAACAGAGTT